ATGCTTGTTAGAAGGAAATAAATTTTTGATGAAATTAAATAAATAGTATACAAATTTTTGTGTGCATGAGTTTATGTGCGTTTGGGGAGGGTGACAAAGTATATACGGTAACTTTCATCAGATTCTCAAAGGGATCTGTGACTCAAAAAGGCTAAAGGACCTTTGTATTAGGGAAAGCCAGAGCACTTGGTAACCAGTTTTTATCATTGTGTTTTCTGAGAGGATGGTATTTCTGCAAACATGGTGTGTGATCCTCCTTTTTTTAAGATCAGAAGGCAAACATTAGGCAGTAGGATTTCTAATGGGACTTGATTTCCCTTCTTTCCTCCCTACAGCCTATTGACTATGAAGGATTCCAGCTCTTCATGAGAACATATCTAGAGGTAGATATTCCTGAGGAGCTCTGCCAACACCTCTTCATGTCATTTAAAAGAAAAATTTGCCAATATTCCCCAGAAAGCCAGCGGCAAAGTTCCAGCGTTCCACAGCTCAGCAATCTTGGTGAGCAGCATGAATTCACTTATATCTCTTCTATCTGTTTCAGACTACACAAGTGCCCACATCGTGAATCAGCAGCTCTCCTTGTAAGGCTGCAGTTCAGCATTGCCTGCATGCTCACTGAAATTAAAACATAAAAGGAAGTTGGAAGGATCTTGGGCATCTTTGGCAGATGTGGTTTTAGAGAGGAACAAATGGGGCTTGCAACAAAATGTTGCAGTGTAGTCTTCTTTTGTTCAGGATTCTAGCCAGCTGCTCACAAAATATTCTTTTCCAATCTCTCTCTCTCTCTCTTTCTCTTTGGAAATTGTGTGTCTTATTTTGCCCAATCTTGGCACGGGCTTGAATGGGTGAAAACAGGTGTTATCACACACTTTTCTGCCCACCTCAACTGCATCGCGTACCCAATCCAGACTCCTGGCATACTTTTCGAAGAACGATACTTTCCTGTTCTTCAAAAAGTATGCCAGGAGTCTGGATTGGGTAGGCGATGCAGCTGAGTTGGCCAGAAAGGTGTGTGATAACACCCGTTTTCACCCATTCAACCCCATGCCCAGCCCGTGCCCAGATTGGGCAAAATAAAATGTGTGATAATCTCCTCTGTCTCTGTCTCTTTCTGTTTAATTCCTTTCATCCCAATCGCTCCATTAACAAGGCCATTGAATATGAACCCCACACATATATACTTTCCATAATCCTAATCTGTTTTTTTGCGGTTTGCCCTCAGTCCCCATTCCTCCTCCTTGCCTTATTTGGTTTTTGTTTGTTTGTGTTGTTGTTGTTGTTTTGGAATTTCTATAGTTACACCAAAGCATTTCCGAAAAGCTGATGAAGGAGAATAGCTATAACCATGTTCTTAATAGTGCCAACAAGGATGCTTCTTATGTTCTTACTCACCCTGCTATATCAATCATGTATTCATCAGTTTTGCAATGCTGTCTTAAATAAATTTGGGTTGAGTTGTGAGCCAGGAAAATGGTGAAGTAGCCATTTTGTCTCATGCTAGTCTGAGCCTGAATTCTGGGCTCAGAGATTCTGGGATTTGATCCAAGATCCTCATGATGCGGGAGCTAACTTTCTGGCTTAACTATGCGGGAATCTACACGCAGATATATACTTTCCATAACTGCAAATGCTTCAGCATATGGGCGGGGGGGGGGGGAGCAATGCATATAAGGATTGACATTTCAGTCTTGCTCTTGGTGGGAGTGTTAACTCAAAAATTAGCCCTACTGACTTCAGTGGTTACATAGAGAATTGCAATTTCAGTCTTACTCTTGGTAGGTATATCTATCCAGAAATAAGCCCCACTGAGCAAGAATTTGTCTGCACATGCTGATTTCAGCACCAAACAGACAAAAGGCACCAAACAGACAAAAGCAACCTCCTTTCTGAGCAGGGGGAGAGTGAAAGAATGAGCAAGTGGGTGAGTTACAATGGTAAGAAGCAGGAGGCCAGCAGGACTTTGCTAAGGAGGCAGAATGTCATGG